AGTGACAGCGCACATTATCTGAGGAGAAGCTGCCGGATCTTGTACGTTCAAGCATTCGAATCAAAACAAACTCATCAATTATAGAACATCTGAAAAAGGAAAGAGGAATACAATCTTATCTTATGCACAGGGCTGGGATTTTGACATTTTTCTAAATGTCTCCTGGAAAATGGAAGCAAGAAAAGGGCAATGGGTCGAACTATCTGTATCGGTGTGGTGACACAGTGGAGACCAACAGCACCTTGGAAACAGAGCCGAACTAGATTACAAGTATGCCTCATCTGGACTGCTCATGGCCTGGGACGTGAAGAGAATGCAGTATAATATGCGCCTCAAATGACTGAATTGAGTGAAATCAGGTCTCAGACACACTCCAGCTACCTCAAAGTACCACTCTAAGAAGAATCTCATTACAAATAGCTGCACTTCTTCCACTTTTCTGATGCAGGGTTTTATAATTCCTGTATATGCGTTTTAACTTTCTTGCTATTTTCCAATTCAGCCCAGAAGAAAATGACACTATATCCTTGAATGCTTTGGTGGCTGTCTAATTTGAGGATTGCAGAGGTTGAACATCAGTTGGGTTTTACATCAGTACTCACCTTGCTCTTCATCCTCATCTCCTAAAAAACATAATTTAAGCATTAAAATGTAAACAATGATATTCAGACAGGTTTGATGTTAATTGCAGAGAAATATACAGACTTGTTTCTTAACAGTAGTGGTGACAGAAAGCAGGGGTTGTAATGTATACAACACAAATGTATTTTATTTAGTACACAAAATGACCAGTGAGTCTACATGTGTCTTCTGGGTTAAAAATGTTGATAATTATTAAACAGTGATAAATTTGAAATATAGTGCGTATTCTTTGGGCACTATTTTGCCTTACGATGCCCTATTTTGCCTTACCTCTCCACCATGTATGGATTTAAAAAAAAAAATCTGTTTTAGGCCAAAACCTTAACAAAAGAAAAACTGAAAGAAAGAGAAGACATCTCAAAACTATGGAAAAATACGGATCAGGCTGTGTATTTGTAACAATTTTATGTAATAGCTTTGAAATAACTAGCTGTGAGGTGGATTTAGAGGCATGAAACTTATCAGACATCTGGTTTCTCTCACCACTGTGAACAATTCTAACTCTGCACGTTTCACTAGAATGGAACATTCCACATCAAACCACTCTGAATGACTTTGTTTATATCTTAACCAGTTCTGATGGAAGTGAGAATGTACACTATTCTCTCTTTATCCCAAATGTATTGGATCAGCCAGACATGTTTGATGTCCAACATTTACTTCCTTAGTTTTGTACTTGAGCTAATGCTAATGTTTCTAGCATAGTAATGTAAGCTTATACTGCACAAATTAGCACTGTGCAAAATCATCACACACACTCAAACTATGTTGAGTTGTTAAGAAATCTAAAATAGACGAGTTTATGTTATTTCTTACACTGTATGTCAGGCTGTTATCTACAGTCAAAGGACAAAAGAATGGCTGCTACTATTGTTTGGTTATGCAATGTACTTTTGTCCACTTTTACAAATACAGTATGTCGTACAGTATCAGAAACTACATAAACAAGTCTACTTGTTGACAGCCCTGGCGCCAGAACAACTTTGTCGGATGGACTATTCTTTGAACATGGGTGGGCCCACAAAAAAAGGGTGGTGTTGGTGGGGGGGGGTTTGTAGCCTCTTGCTCACAACAGTGCAGCCATCATCACCCTGCCTATTCAAAAGCTACCATACAATGACAAGACTGAGAATGCAGGCTTAGCAGAAACCCAACCAACACTAAAACACCTTTCTCTATAAAGCATGCCTCTCCTCACAACAGTGAAGATCATGTAATAAACAGCTAAGATGTAATTAACAAAACAAAGTCAAACAACAACAGCAACTTAAAAACCTGTACCATCACACATAGTAGGCTAAAGCATACTGCCACAGTGGGCATAAAAAATGTTTGTGGACCATTTATATCTTATAACTGATGACTCATAGGTCCAGTGCAAAATCAAAGAAGTAAACTTTAGACCCCAAACCTGTCTTGGCAATTATAGGAGGGTAAGGGGGGAAGCTAAACTATTCCTTAAATGATCACAATGAGACAGATTAATGCCATTGCTAAGTCCTGTGTCAGGAGGTGAGCTGCGTGAGTTTCTGCAGTAGCGCCAAGGCTGATGCTGTGGATGCCTCTGCATACACATTACCCTACATATACGTCTGGGGTGATGGCCCAATGTTCCCGGTAGTGATGGGGCAATTTCGATGGCGCACTGAGTGGGTGCTGCGGAAAGACAATTTCCCTTTATCAGGTCTGACTTCATCAATTATTCAGCATCGGTAGAAGTACAGCTGTACAGGATTGTTTTGTTGCGTTATTTTCATACTGCCACACCTTCCCAAAAGTCTTCATTTTAGTTATCACAGAGCATGAGATAAGAGGCGAGGAGTCATAGATACACATACATGACTGCATGCACACACACACTTTTATGCATGTCCATAGACGTTGTAATGTTGCTCTGGTTTAAGAGAACTCTGGCAAAACAGGGTATACTGATAAATGGCACATGCATATTAGCTGAGTATGGAACATTAAAAAAAATAAAAAGAACTAAAACACATCTAAACACAGTATAAACTTGCTAGCATAAGGATAGCCAGACAGATGGACAGATAAATGGCTGCAAAGATGGATGGACAGAATAGAGTTTGTTTTACAGCTGTTACATTCTTCTCAGCAGTTAATGCTTACAAATCTCATCTAAGCATTGTTTTGGTACTTCTGGGTTATACTGCATGAACCCCCAATATTCATTTAAACCTTTATTTATTCAGCTGCTGCCACAGCACTGAAGTTAAATACAGCAGTGGAAATTGGGAAATGCTGCCAAATGTTCATCATTTCTGTAGGCATCTGTATGCAGCTTGTGCCGTTTTGTGTAAATCAGAGCGATGAGACCATGCGTTGTAAAGCTCCAGGCTCCTAAAAATTATAATACAAAAAATACCCTCATATTTCATACACATACCAATCCACAAATGCAAGGGTGCATTATCTTGGATGCCAGTCATATCTAAAATGTTCATATTTGGATTATCAGACCCACAAGTCAGTAAGCTTGTCAAATTAATCAGGAAGCCAAAGGGCATTGCTTTTTAGAACTCTGTATTTACTCAGACCCTGTGGCTGTGTATGTGCGTACACTGGTGGGGAGGAGTGGCTTATGGTTTTAAAACAAAATGTAGATATCAAGATTCATAGCTATATTTAACTCTCACTGTTTTTAAACATTTAAAACCTCTTATAAAGATTTACACACTCCAGCAGAGAAAGCATTCCAGACTTTGCAGTAGTCTAGACCCTGCCTCCACCTCCTCCACTGGCTATTCTGCATCGAATCCTTAGATAATTACTAGATGTTTATCAGGGAATAAGCATGGCAGAGGAAGAGCAGAAGGGACAAAGGGAGAGCCAAAGCCTGTAAATGGCCACTGTGATGCAGCATTTCTATACATACATACAGAAGACATATATATATATACATATACATACATACGTTCATTTGTTTGTGTGTGTGTATACATAAATACTATAATGTATATGTGTATATATATATATACATGTATATATATATGTGTGTGTGTGTGTGTGTACAGATACATACAGATATATAGAAATTATTGACCATACCTGACATGTCAGCATTTATTGTGCTCTACATGGACCCCACGTAGATAATAAAATACTTTCCTGTCTGTAAAAAGCAGTCAAAACAGCAAAAGCCCAGACAACAAACAACGCCTACGCTGGAGGTGAAGGATCAACATGTCCGTGTAGCTTAAATCGACCTCTTTAGATAAGGCTGCCGTTCAGATCATGGTCCATATATAGAGTCATGTTGTGAAATGAAGGCTTTTCGCCCTGTACATTTTCTGGGGAGGAAATGAGTCACTTGTTTCTTGACAGTTGTAGGTGCACTACGAAAGTGCGGCCTGTTGCCGGTATGATTGGGTGAGTGCAGGGTTAGATTGTGTAATTAAATGCAATGTCCCTGAGTGGCTCTATTACAAGGCCCATAGCTGCCAGTGGCATGCCACAAAATGGTCCACATAAAAAAAACACTGTGCTTCACTGCACTCGAGCTGTGCTTTGCTGCCCTCGAATAAATGCTTTTAAGCCCAGGAGAGAAGGAGGGATGAGACGGTAAAACTGTTTTCAACCACCTGCTTTTTCCTTCTGCAATTTACATTGCAGTAAAACAACTAAGAGAAAGTAACGAGACACAAACTGAAAGGTAGATTTGACTCAAGATTAAAAAGGAGAGAGAAAGGTAACTGTTGCTGCTGGTGGAAGTGCCAAATGCTAACTGTATTCTTTAATGAGGCCTAATTAATTGATTCCAATTAGGACTGAGTTTCCCTCATTAGAGGTGAATAGTCACTTTGTGGGTTGTCCGTCAGGGATTGTTCATTATGATTTTGTGTCTTGTGCTGTCTCATTTAATGACTCCCTAGCCCTAGACTCTTCCTTGGCTTCTCTTCAAAGCACTACTCTAGAGGTTCTCGATCCTCCCCTGGCTTGGTGTACCACAGCCTGGCACATTTTAGTGTTTTCCCTGCTCCAGCACAGCTGATTAAACTCATCAGCTAATTAATAAGGTCTTCCTGAGTTGAACTGGGCGCTTGTACTACATTAAGATTGAGAACCACCGAGGAGCAGCTGTATAGCTTCATATTGCCCAAAGAATGTATCACAAGCCCATTCATCGAGCTCTGCACAGAATTTTCTGACTAAGGTCTGACTAAATGCCTTAACTCTGTCACTTTTGTAAGAGCAAAAGTCTTGAACACTGCTTCCCAAGTCCAGTCCTCAGAACTGGAGTTGGTTAACACCATGAGCACCAGAGTCTGCTTTTACAGACTGGTTTTTGTGACGGAGAGCCCCCTGGTGGCGTTCGGTCTTGTTTACTAGGAGCTGCGCATGCGCATGTGCGGCTTCACTCAGGAAGAGTTGGAAATCATAACATGGTCGCGTGTGGGAAAGCATGATACTGACATGAGGTATTAATGCACAGTAACCTCGAGTTTTGAATTTATGGAATTCTGAACTGTGAATTTGTACCCGTGATTTCTGTTTAAGTGGAAAGTTTTAGCTCACTTGTAGTCTAAATGAGAATACTTAGCTTGACAGCTCAGCTAGCCGAACAGCCTAAGGTTTAGCGTGACACCTAGGTTAGCTAGAGTTAGCTAGGTGAGCAAACGGGTTATGAGTCTTGACTTCAGTATTACTAAATCATAATAGAAATTCACGAATTCAGTGCCTTTAGAAATTGGTCGTTTAGCATGACCTGTGTGGACTAAGCTGACATACAAATGCTCCTTATTACTACAACAGCAGGGGTAGCGACGGTTGCTGTGTGTTATCTGTGTAGGTAACTAGTTAGTTAAAGGGGAATCCGACCGATTTTTCAAAATTTTCGCATAATTCCGTCTTTGCGATGTAAATTGGTTTGCGATTGGTTTGATGTGAAATGCTCCGTTGTACAGAAACATACAGACTCTGATTTCTTTATAGTGGTGGTGACAGGAACCAGGGTTCGTCATGCACAACGCAAGTATAGTCATTTTATTCACTGTCCTAAACCACCAGTGAATCCACAACGTGTCTTCTGAGTTTTTATGTTATGTTGATGATGGTAAAGTAATAGTAAATCTGAAACAACTGCTTTGACTATTTTGCCTTACAGTGCCCTACATGTACTCCTCTGCCATAAATGGATTAAAAAAAATTTATTAACGAGACGTTTTAGGCCAAAACTTTATCACCGAACTTAAAACAACGTCGGACATCAGGCAGTGTAATTATAACCATTTCATGTAATAAATTTCTTTGGGGGAGCTTGCAGAGGTGGAACTTTTGAAAAATTGCTGGAGTTCCCCTTTAACAAATGCTATCCAGTCACCAGCCTGTCACACCTGGCTAAACACCAGTGCTTAATCCATATGTTGCAGCACGGATTGAAGTGAAGGAGACTAATCAGAAGAGCAAATTAAAACACTTAAAATGCCGGTCAGGAACACAGTGACCAGTGGGCTGCCCAATAGCAAAGTGAGATACTCAAAGCTTGCAAGTGATGATGACGGCTACATTGACCTTCAGGTAAGCTGTGAGATTCAGTAGTGTTTGATGCATGAACACTAAGAAAAAGATCCTGTGCTGAAGTACTTTACCTCCCCCAGTCTTTCTCTATTTTCACCACATACGGCAGCACATACAGTTCCAGGAATGTTGCATCGTCCTTTGTTGTGCTTAGTATGTCAGCTGCAGTTAAAGGGCTACATTATTCTACATTATATTCTACATTGTGCTTGTATTTTAAATCTCCCCCTGGGGTCCATTTATTATTTTTATGTGGTTTTATGCACTAAAACTGTAATAATTCATTTTAACATGATAATTTTCAAACCACACTTTATCCCTTACACTTAAACAGGCAGTTTTTTGTTACTATGCCTTTAGGATTGATATATGTAAATGAGGTCTGTTTTGATTGGCTGTCCTGTATTGTGTTTGATTTTAAAAGCAGTCAGGGCTGAAACACTCCTTATAACTTCTGTGTAATTGGGTATGGCCGCACAGCTGAAGGCTGAACTACCTGACCATGACATGGGACCCCACTAAGGAAAATAAGCATTTCCTTCAACATTGTTGTTGATATAGCTAGTATCTATTTGTGGGCTTTCACAGTTCAGATTTTTTATATAGGTTATATTTATTTGTCCTGTTCTGTAATAAAATGTGTAATGATATTCTCGCTCCTTCTTTTAGTTTAAGAGAAGTCCACCCAAAGTCCCGTATAAGGCGATTGCCCTGGCAACTGTTCTCTTTCTTATCGGCACAATTTTGATCGTCATTGGAGCTCTTCTGTTAGCGGGATACTTTGACATTCAAGATGTGAGTGTGCAACTTTATCGATTCCACTTTGACCTTTTTGTCTAAATACTCTGTCAGTTACCAGTAGTACCATGACCTGGCATATTTGGTGTGCCTGCTGACACAGCTGACTTGGCTCATCAGCTAATTAGCAAGCCCTTCCTGAGTTGATGTGGTTGTGATCATGCAGGGAAAACTGTTAAATGTGCAGGGCAGAACCTGGTTTCAGAAACTCAGGGCTACATCATGCGGCTTCAGTAACACTAATGCCTGTACCTGCATGAGATGTGTTAAAAGGTTATGCTGGGGATCAGTCAGAAACTTGGTCCATCTTGGCAATTATGCAGAGATTTTCAGTATTAAACTTTTAACCTTTTAATGTAAGTAAACATGTTAAAACAATTTAATGTCTCTTGGATTACTAAATGCAGTCTGTATTTTATTTTTTTTTTCAGGGCAGTATTTTTATACATGCTTAGTAAATTTTCTACATGTTTTAAAATAAAGCAAATTAAAGAAAGTTAAGGGTTTCAGGTGCTCTTATGTGCAAAATCTGTCTTAAGTCTTATGCTCCATTAACATCTCTGTACTGCTTATATCTTCCTTTGAGATGTTTTGCCAAGCCTTATTGGCAGTTGGCAGTATCTTTTAAGTTGTTTTGCGTGTTGTTTGACGGCTGTTACTTCTCTTTTTCAACAAGTGAAATCCATGCTCAAATGATTTAAATTAGAAGGCTAGAATGAACTCGTTGGTTAAATGTGTAGTCTTAGATTTTTGTCTTGCTATGTTACAAGCAACTAAACTTCAGCTGAAGCTATTTTTGGACAGGAAAAAAACAAAATGTTTCTGTTTACTTCATTATTTATTCTGCTGCTGCCATAATCAAGACCTGTGAGCCGGCTCTAGAGACAGTCATGCAGGTCCAAGCTATGACACTGCCTCAGGTGCTGAGGATCATTGCAGTCCCTCTCTTTCTCCACACTTTTTACTTTCTGCCACTTCAGGGAAGGTTTATAATCAAGTCATCTACTTGTAAATTTTTTTTCCAAAACTCTTCTGGCTGACCATTTCACTGATTTGAACATTCACTCTGTTTTTGGTGTTGATGAGTGTCTTGCAGTGCAGCCTCTATTTTTCCTCCTGAGTCAACTCTGAATGGTGAATCATGATACTTTGACACCTACACTATGCAGATTTTCTTATTTTATGGGCTGTTATTTTGAGGTATTTCTTCACAGCTCTAATGATTTTTCTGTCATCAGCTGGCTTCAGTGAATGCCTTGCTTGTTCTAAATTGTTTTTACCAATCGTATCTTTTTTCTAAAGTATCCATACTGTTGATGTTGTGATACCTCATCATTGTACAATGACTGGCATTTGCCTTAATCTCATTTTCAAAGCGACTTGCTTTTCCATCACAGCTGGTTCTCTGATTTTGATCTTGGTTTATGCCTTTACAACACCAGACTGCACAGGCAACTCCAATGACTACAACTAATCCTAGACATTAACAGCCCAATTAAATGTGCACAATTAAGGAAACTGTCTGTTTTGAAATTCAAGTGACGCACTGTCATTTCAGAGGTGTTCTTTGTCATTTTAGAACAGCTACGTGGCAGCCCTGACACTTGATTTGAAATAAACTGAAAGGTGCTTTGCCCCTATTGAGTTCATAGGCAGATTCTGCATGCAAGAAATATGACTTACTTTGAAGCTGTAACTGCTTTATCTCCACCAATTCTGTTTCTAATCAGTTGAACTAACCCCCCTCATGTAATGACTGAAATCAGGGTAACACACCCACAAAAATGGCATGATAAAGAAGGCCTAAAAGAGCTTAGATGATGCACTAATTTAGCCACTGTGATGTGGTGAACATTAGTGATATTACTAAAAGGCCATCACGCACTAGAGCCCATGCATCAAACACAAGGCCCATGAGCCAGATCAGGCCTGCAACACAACCCTATCCGGCCCGCAAAGGTATTTTAATTTTCTGTTAATATTAGCTCGTTTCACAATGTACTACACTACAGTCCCCAGCATGCACTGCAACATAATGTGTGCTCTGACTCTTTTAACCCAGCAACAGTCTATGGGAAAGATAGAGCTACTGGATGTAGGAAGTTTTGAAAAACAGTCAGGTAAAGTAACATTTATATGTAACATAGTAAAATAACATTTGATGAGTTTAGACCTACAGCAAATTAAAATTTAGCTGACACTGATTAGTGTTGTGGTCACATGGTCACATGTCACCTTAATGTAATACATACACAATACGCAGAATATAAAAGAATAAGAAGAATATAAAAATATAAGTAAAAATGTTTTTCCTTGGACAAATATTTAATTTTAATAATACTGGAGTAATGTGCAAACTACAATTACTTTTCTTACCCCGATAATACATTGTATCCTATAAGTGTATAGTATAGAATGAAATGACAAAGAATCATCTTGTAGTGTCATTCTTAAATCAGGCATACTTAACAGATTATGCTTTGTATATAATATTGATGTACCTGTATATACTTTAATAAATACTGAGTACTATGTAATTTCAGACACAGCTTACATCTGCTTTCAGCTACAAGCCTCTAAGCCATGTACATTAATGACTAGCTGTAAGACAAAGTTCAGACATCCGCTCCTGATAATAACACTAATCTGAGTTGGGGAAAAAAACCTCCATTGCATTAGAGAACTGTGTAGCTAAGTGTATGGCAATGCCTTTAATAAGCCTGCATGACAAAGGACTGAGTCCTACTGAAAGTAAACAGTTCAAGCTGTGCTTGGAGAGTTCAGAATGGAGTGTGATTACGTTCCTGCTGTGAGGAGCATCTGACACTACCATTAATCCTGGTCATGGATTGTCTTAAGGAGGTCCTCAGTCTACTGCCCTATTTCCTGACTCAGTCCAGATGGTGTATCAGCCATGTCACTCCCAGCTCACCTGAGCTCAAAATCAGAAAGAGCATGGTTGATATGTTCTCTCCATCGCGATGATGAAACTGGTAATCCAGATCATGTTACCTTTTCAAAGAACAAGCAGGACAGAATATTAGAGAGTAGTTTGAGATATGATCAGTGCTGTGTAATGTGCATAGGAACCAAGGGTTGTGATATCCACAACACAAATATAGCCACTTTATTGATCAGTGAGTTTTTATACATAGTGTTGATAATAGTAAGACAATGGAAAACCTGGGGAAGCAACATTTTTGGTAGTATTTTGCTTGTATCTCTCTGCCTTAAATGGTTTAAAAAAAATAGGCCAAAACCTGATCTCAAAACTGTCATAAAACAATGTCTCAGGGTGCTTTCAGGGAGGTAAATTTTAGAGACAGTGGGTTTCTGTGGGTTTCTTGTGACAATTCTGACTTGGTAACTTTCTTTAGAATGCAGTTCACATTAAACCACTGTGAATGACTTTGTTTACATCTTAATTATTTATGCAGAAATTTAAAAAAAATAGGTTCCCCTTTGCAAATGTGCATCATGAAGCATGGGTTTACTTCTTCTCTGGTGACACAAATACTTTAATGAGCACTAGTAGGTGATTTTTAGATGCTTGCCTTGTCTTTAACTTAGATTTGACTAAATGTGTTGAATTCAACTTAGAGGAATAGATTTGCAAAAAACTGTTACTCAGTTATCAGTTTAGCCCAAATGTAGTTGGTCAGATGACACAAATCTGATGATGTCTGCTTCATTTCTTTCTTAGTTTTGCACTGGAGCTGTGAGGCTAATGTGGCTAACAAGTAATGTAAGCTTGTATTCCACCAATTAGCATAATAATAATAATAATATAACATATACAATAAATATATAAAATAAAATAGCAGCATCAAAAGGAGGAAGAGAATTAGGGGAAAAAAGGAGAGTGCATGAAAGGAAAAAGAAAGAACATGACATGAGAAGGCTTATGCAGAATTGGGAAAGCACTGAGTGAACAGGTGTCTTAATTTTTTATTTGAAAGATGAAAGACTTCTGCAAGCTTCAATGAATAATCGCACACTTGCCTCAGACTATGTGATGTAATAAAGTGATCTCAAGTAGACGTGTATATTGGGTTTCTGATTCTTTTTTCATAGATAACAGTAAATCATAGAGGTCTATAAGCAAGTCTGCCTAACACTTATTCTACATCTAATCTTAATCTTATATCTTAACCTTAACCTAACCCTAGTCCTATCCTTAGTCCTAATCCTAACCCTAACCCAGTTGCTAATCATGAGTTTGACCAGATAATTTTTCAGTCTGAGCATAGATGAGCTATAGGGGATGTAAAGTTTGACTGCATGTAATGTTGTGGAGATTTGTGTCCTTCATAAGCATTCTTCAAAAGTGACGGTATTTTTGCTTTTCTCTCACTCGCAGCACCGCGACCGCACTATACCGGTCCTCATCATTGGAATCCTTGTCTTCCTGCCCGGATTCTACCACTTGCGCATCGCCTACTATGCTTCTAAGGGCTACCCAGGCTACTCCTACGATGACATCCCAGACTTTGATGACTGAGTAACATGGAACATTGTGACAGCTTGCTGACATTTCTGATAGATCTCTGAAGAAGAGCCTTCTTTTATGTGCAGACAGACAAAGCTGCAGTCTTGACAAGCTCTCATTTTGAAGTAAAGTACTACATGGAGAAAAGATGGTATGTGTTAGCTCCGAAGATTTTATGTTGATGAAAAGTGCTTCTAAAGAGGCTGGTAATTCGAGCATAAAGAATTCACCATCTGCATGAATGTTCCACAGTTAAGTAATAGAAAAGTGCTTGTAGCATTTGTGTTCCTACTTTGCCATGTTGCAGTTAATAAACCATGTATGGTTGTGATTAAAATTGAGGCAAGGGGGGGAAGCAGCCTAGTGGAAACGTGTTCCCAGTGTCTGTTTTATATTTAACGTTGCGTTTGATATGTTACGGTAGAAGGAGTAGAGGAGGGAAACTTGTCATCAGTTCTACTTCCAGAAATGCTCTGTAAAACTGTTCTCCTGTAGTTTAATCTACACCCAGTTTTACAGTTTTGACTGGACACTACAAATGTTGTGGCTTTCTACTGAAGATTCAGTATTGCATTCCACTTCTTTTATATCACAATTTGATACATTTCAGAGATGTAATCACTAAAACATCTGGGACCTTGAGAATGAAGTGAATGTGTCGTGTTTTATTTATTTAGCACTAACCCATAGTTCAGATGTTTCCTGGTTGTTCTACTGTATTCATTTTCTATATTTCAGAAGTTACTTCCAATGCTACATCATCTTCAGAATTGCACTCCCAGTTGTTTGTTGATTTGTTGTTCCTGTAAAAAATAAAGAATTTGAATAATTTAACTTAAGATGCTTTGAAACTGTGTTCCATCATGTCATGGCTAAAAAAAGAATGAATTCAAAATATAGCCCACATTTCAAACATTGCATAAATGTATAATATATGCCAAAAAGAAATTAGGAAGCAAAATTAGCTGGTAGTTGTTATGCTTGTCAACTTACGCCCTCAAGTGGCTGGAAAGTGAACATAAGATCAAATCTTTTGTTCACTTTTGCGCCCCAGAGTAAAAGTGCAGATCTTAGATAAGATTCCTCTTTAGTTATTATTCATCTCCTTCACAAAGAGACCAATTCATAAACAGCCTGAACTAAGATAGTTTGTGATTACGAGTCCACAGCAAATAAAATAATCCCAGGGCTGCATAATAAGACTCTGCTCCGGCTCGGGGTACTTTTGATCACAAAACGGGTCCAGAATAAACACTTCAGTTCTACATGCTGTATGAATACGGGCCCGGAGAATGTGTGATGTTTAACTAAAGGGTAAAGTTAAAAATGAATACTGTATCAATCTTAATACGATTTAAATAATGAATCTAAATCTGATCAGACAGAAAGAGACTGTTGTACTGATGCTGCTTCACGTTACGCTTGGGCTGCGTACAAAACCGCGCATATTACCACACTAAACTGTAACAATGTGAAAACAGTACAGCACCATCAGAAGTCCATTCATTAGTGTAGTGTGTGTAGTACAGTACTGTGAGGTTTTGGACGCAGCTGAAGTAATAGATGAGAGGAGTGAGCAGAAGGAGAAATTCTCCTCAGCATCTGACGAACAGTGGTTTAACCTTTAGCTCTCTATGTGGCCTCCGCCGCTCAGTCCTCTAAAGTCACAAGGTCAAACAAACGAGAGCGGCGGCGGCGGTGTGATTTTTCAATCTGGACAGGAAAAAGCGCACGAACAGATCGAGAAGAGGGGGGATGTTTGTCTCCGGAGGAGGGAGAGGCGTTTGTGGAGTGAGGGAGGGGACAGGGAGGAGGGGAGGAGGAACACCAGCAAGTAGGCAGACGTTTGTCCGTCATGGTGCACATGGCCTTTGAGACGCTGTGAAGGCGTTAGACGGACACGCTCAGAAACTTCAGCGGACACAGAGCGAGTGTGTGTTTCTCAGCTGGCCGAGCAGAGGAAGCGTTGTTCTCCACTTTATTTAAGTCTCCCGAAGAACTGCGGCGCGTCCACAGAGAAAAAAGCGCGAACTTCAAGCGTGCTGCTGAGGCGCTCGTGAACGGGGGGCGCGCGCCGCTGTTGTTGTTGAGGCTAACGGCGCTTTTCGTCGCTCCAGTTAGCAGGTTAGCATCCCGTTTGTTTGAGAACGGAGACTCTCTCCGCGGTCAATGGGAGTCGGAAGCCTCGGCGGTAACCGGACTAACCCCGTTTGGCGGAGGAGGCGAGCCACGGAAAAACTTCTGAGGACAGTTAATGGATCCAGACTCGCAGTTTACTCGAGCTGAGCACCTGCCGCCGCCGCCGCCGCCGCCGCAGAGCAACTTACAGCGCTCTGGATGCTCAAACTGCGCAGCGGGTTGTTTTACCTGAGCTTAACGGACATTATGAAGTGAGCGTTACTAACTCTGCAGAACTGTTTTATATATGTGTATATATATAATTTAAAGTGTACTTACATAAAATTGGATTCAGAAATCCCCTGAAGACTGCTTCACTCCGGATTTAGAAGAGGAAGAGGGGAAAAATCATCAATGGAGTGACATCTTTTTGTTGACTGTCACAGACAAGTGCCTAAATAAGGTAAAAGAGAATTTTAACCGTTTCCACTGCAGCCAGCTTCAGCCCCATCTGTTATAGTCCTCTCTCTGCGTACATTATTCATAGCTGTCCAGTTATCCACACGTTGTGTTTTTTTAATAAGCTGGGGAAATGTTTAGTATGTTTGAATATTTTGTTAATGAATAGTGTTTTCTCGGTCCTTCCAGCCCACGGTGTAGGTGTTATGAGCTGTACATGAGGCGCAGTGCTGCTCTGAGGGAACAATGGCCAGCAGCTCTTTCACTGATGGACAGTGTTCACAAGCTTTCTTTTACACCCAACCACAGTTTTTAGGGCAGATATCTTTTAAACATAGTTTCCCCCCATCAATTGTTAAAGAAACATTTAAACTGTCCTCCCACTGACAGCTGGAGAAGTCTGTAGATATTTGTATAGTACATTTTTCTTCACCAGTGGATGCACATGGGCTACATTATGCATCTGTTGGTCTACCTTACCACATATGAGTGACTTATTGTTGGTCTGCTGGGACTGTAGTAGTTGTCATTCCTGTATGCTAAAAAGCAAGTGAAACTCATGCGAATGATGGTGTGGAAAGGCATGATGGCACGCTGTGAAATGACATCTCAGTGTCTGTCATTTTAAATGAATTATCAAGCTGTCCTTCTTGCAGATGCGCATAAGCAACACAGTGGCCTGTTCATGAGGGAGTTGCTCAGCCAAGTAGTTCCTAAAATCTCAGTGTTTAAAGATTAACATCATTGTAACATCTTTCATGTGGACATTCATCAGTGCATTCAAACAATTTAATGACAACCTAGGAGCTTTTGCCATTTTCTGCCCCAGACATGTTAAAATTATAGAGTAATTCCTGAGTGGTTATTGCTTCTGCAGGGGGTTGCTGGGTGGTCATGGAAGGATTTATAAATGTGGACTTGCTTACTCAATACTAGGCCCACCGTTGTGGGCAAAGTCTGTGTTGCGTGAACTCAGATCTCTATTCATCTGGGGACCATGCTGACTTATTCCATAGCCTGGCCTTTTCTCTCTGTTTATGTGCAAACACAGATTACTGATGTTGGCACCATCTGTTTTCATAAATCATACATGCCGCTGTTCTGATCAAAGGTCTCAGTGGGTGCACCTAAAGGAAAACAGAGCATTTTGCTTTCTCTGTTCTCTGTGTTTTTGCTGCACTCACACATTACTCTCTCACACACGTTAAACTGTTTGTCATGATGTCATACCGCCACCCTATGCTGGATGTTTTGCTCAGTTGTGGCCTGTTTCTCTTCAGGATATTAATGCATGCTTGCAGTCAGTAAAATTTGTGTGGACTTGAAACAAAAGTGCTTACAGTTGTTTGGAGTTAAAAGCAAGAAACAGGGATTATAGTAGGTTACTGTTACTACAGGCTGCTAATGGAAGCATTTTGTGCATTCCAAGGCCTTGTTTCAGTAATACTGAGCACACACATGGATATATCCCATGAGAGTTCATGCACGAGGGAGGCACGAGACCAGTGCTGGCATTTCTTCGCCATAGCGAATATTCATACCTGCAGCAATGAAGTTAAAGGATAAAGGTTTTTCTGTAGGTGACATACACAGTTAACTCTTAGCAGTCAAGAGTTATTACTTGACTTGTGCTGCACTATTCAAATGTAAATACATAATTACATATTTATTACATTTACATTATTACATAATGAGTTACATAATGAATTACATTTACATTCAGTTTAATTACAAACAACACTGTATGCATGACTAACTTTTTATCCACTTCAAATAATAATAAAGTACCTACTTTTCTATACTTATAAAAGTTTAGAATTGGCACTTCCGACAACATTTCTCAACTTGTGAGAAATAATGCTTCTGTTATGGCCAGTGATAATTGCATCTTTAACTAACTGTTTTTATTGTGGCTCCATTGACAGTTGAATTGAGTGACGTAACTTTGCATATATGTTGTACGGACTTTAAGTTGTTGCTATACTGCTGATCTGCGCAAAATCGGAATTGACTAATGTAATGTAAAAAGTCATGTTACTCGCATTACATCTCTTATTGATGCCATCTGTTCTTTAGACAACCCTCAGCTTGTTTGAAGCAGGTGAGGAGTACCAGCTTATCCTGTGCATTATAGGACTAAATAAGCTTTAAGGTGCTACCCTGGCATCTGAGGGCATTGGTTAGACTTGGTCACATCTGAGGCTCCGATGGGATGTGATGATCTCGGAGGACATTCTAACAGGATTGCCTACTGTAGTTACAAGAGGTGTCCATTATATAATTTCAGTCAGAACAAAATTTATTTTCTCCAAAACAGTAACTTTTCAGTTGAAGAAAAAATACATTTCTAACTTCTGATGTAAGGTAATCCAATAAGATTTTTTTCAAGTACTTTTGGGCCATTCCTCTTTGTCCATTCATCAAGAAATGTCCACAAAGTGAAGGACAGTTGACATATTCAAATTAAGGGTGTAAAAAGGAGATTAGTAGAGAAAGTTTTGTCCCCACAGTGACAATGCATTTATTGTGATTAGTATCAGTCTCTATTGTAATCACAGCAGTCAGCAGTTGTCGCTTTCCATTTATTAGTACACCTGCACAGAAGAGTGCTCCAGCAACCTGACAAATCATAGACATATCCCAAATAAATGTGTTAAGCCACATGCTTGCAATGTTGTACGTTTAGTCTGTAATCTCAGTGTATATATATGCTAAACAGTATATGCTCATTACATGTTGTCACCTTGTTATAATTTAAATTGAAACAGTAGGCTGCTGTTATTCACTTTCTCTCTTTAGACAAAACCACTTTTAGGGTGAAGTAGATGATTTCCTAGACCTTTAACCCAGTAATATCCAAATTTAAAAATTATGTCTTCAAAAGGTCTCTGAGCTTTCTTGAAAAGTTCCAAAAAAGTTAAAAAAAATTAAGCCACATGGCTAAAAAGTTTTGATCACCTGTCATATTAAATTCAGGTATTTGGTTACATGGGATTGCTGTTCTTTAACAAAACAGTAGACAATCCAAATTTGATTGTGAGTAAATTTATGAAGATTTCATTTACTCAAACAAAATTAAACAGGTACTGTTAGATGGTCGCCCAGAGTAAAAATATATGAAATTTATTGACTTTAGACCAGTCAGAACAGCTTCTGTGGCAGTTTAACTTATGATGATAAATGTGTTGTTGGACATCATTGGGATAAAGAAAATGGCGTGCCTGGTACTAAAGTGGTCATTTATATAGATTATATTTTTTCAGTACTTGGGAATATACCTTATTTAGACTTCACAAGGAAAAGGATATTCGAACTTGGTACATTTTGAATGGAGATATTTTTACACAACCCTATCAAGAGCCTGTAAGGGTCTGCAATGTTCGCCATTGTCATCTTCTAAAATTAGATTATATTTGAATTTGAAAAGTGTTGAATAGTACTGCTTGTTATAAAACAATGTAGTCACTATAGGGAGTTGCAGAATAAAGTATATGACAGATACAGAGGCATCTGGTCAACTTCACACATTTCACCCAATTTCAAAAATTATGGTTTGCATTTCTTATTAGCATTAGCATTTGCTGAACAGCTATTGAAACGACCAAGCAAGATCAACAGTGTGACGTTGGCCTACTGTCCTTGCCCTCGTCCTGTGTCCCCTTTCTTGGCCTGCTCTAGCAGCCTGGTCTCTCGAAGGATCATCCAGGATTAGTGACAGAGTAATACAGCTGCTTATCAGGTTGTCTCTGTCACCGGCAGCACTCACCGCACACCTTATAGAGCAGGTTGCCTACACAGTGATCTGTTATTCAACTTTACTCACAAAGATCCTTGAGATGCATTCACAAGTGTGACACTGGTATTCACTTTTTTTTTATTTGGGCGCTGAGCCCTCCATGCCACAAGCATTCAGACGCTGAATGTGTAAAATAAGTGTGAAGTCTGGTTGAAGTTTTCTGCAAGGCTTTTTCAAAACCAGAATAAATGTTCGTCTGCATATGAAAAACAAATTTCAGTCACCTTTCTGTACATCTCTGTATGTGTCATCCCCTGTGGTAACTGCAAAGATCAACAAGTGGATCTTTGATCCAAGGAAATCCTAATGGCCTCGATTTAACCTGCCATTTTCAGGTCAGACCATGCGAGAGGGATTATTCCTGCCCTGCACACCCATTTTGTCACCTCTTAACTTGCGCCGAACATGCTAAGAGCCTTTCCCATCAAGCAAGACACCCAAGTCAGTCACTTTCATGGAGCCACCAGACACATTTCATGCCATACCACATGGTATGAGATAAACCCACCATGTAGCTCCTAATGCGATCAAAATGGCATGCATCCCAGCACACAGATTTACCCAGAGTGTTTCTGAACACAACCTCAACTGTTTGCCCAAGAGTAGACACAACAAAACTCGAAGAGTTACCTATAAAAGTTAAGCTAAGCCAGGGATTACAAGGTGCCAGAAGGGAAAGCTTTGACATCCGTCAGATGGATCAAAACACCAGCAAAAAGCACCAGCTAGGCAAGGAGAGTGACTGCTGTCTAAAGTTTGACTGATAATATTTTTCCATGACTTTCAAGGCTTTTACTCGATGTGGCGCTGATGTGATCAATGTTTAATTCAATTATCCTTTCAAGGCCCCTGAACAGCAGGAGTGGATCAGCCCAAACTAGAAATGTGTCAACAGAGAAAGATCTGCCAAAGGCTGGTACACTCTGTCTGCAGGGACAAGCTCAGTCCTCTAACAGATGCTACTTGTCTTAACGAGTGGATAAACTGGCACGAAACTGTCCATGTTGACGTGGTTGTTTCTCAGTAAAAACTTCAAATACACAGATTATTTGGTGGGTAGGTAAGTTCATAGCTAAGCAAAGCCAACTGTCGTCCATGACCAGTGCCTTTAGATCACTACCAAGGGACCTTTTCACACCTAGTAGTTTGCTAGCACCATCTGTTTCACATTTAGCAGTGAGTGTTCCTCCCCAAGGTGCTTGTAAAAC